AAGATGAAGGACTCAGGTCATGTTATGCAAGTTTTTAATGATTTGCATTATTCAAATAGATGCAGGTTATTAGCATACCATGACCATTTGTCATGGCTAGCTTGCCACTGAATACTGTCCAATATCATAGATAACAAATGATAATAATACTTGAATGAATCATTGGATATGTAGAATTTAATAACAATTTCATACATAGAAATATTACCAGTAAGTCAGTTTTTGTCCCAATTATCATTTTAATGGCACCTTCAAGGCCACCCCTACTGCAGAACAACTGAACAATCAGCCAATGGAGAGACAAAATCTATTTTGTTGACATTTTTGTTTCATATGTCAGCTTCGTATGACACCATTCATTGTATAAATGACTAAGATTGCACTCAGTAGTCAGAACTGCAAAACTATATAATAAGAAAGAAATTGCGAGCATTATTGAAAACAAGTCACTCAGATAATTTTTCATTCGTATGCAATTGTGTCTTCCAATTCGGACATCATACTGCTCATTTGACCTTATGCATAATGATGTCATAAGGCTTGATGCCCGGAATGCTGGTCATCGCCCGGGAGAATTAAACAATTCAAAATGGCCACTATTGAAATTTTCCTGGACCGTCATGACTACTAAGACCAGTATTCCTCGCAGGCACCAAGCCTTGAGACGTCATTATGCATAAGGTCTATGCCCCGCATAAAAGACCACTAGCCTGAAGTTTGGGCAATTAAGCAGCCAAAGTTTTAAATTCTTTTACAGTTTAGATATAATAATATGCAACAAGAACCATATTAGTGTATAGCAATAGTTTTATGCAACAACAGTCCCTATTTAATGTGTAGAATATAAAAAGGTATAGTGTGAAGTAAGATTATATATAAAGATTAAAGAACCACTTCAGCCTGAAGTCAAAATTCACTGGTTCTTTTATGCAGGGCTTTTATACTGCAATGTATCATATTCCCATAATAACAATATTAATAATCATTTTAGTGCAATATAAAACTATTTTTATTGGCAATTTTCTAATTGCCATACAACCTATATATTTGTAAAATTTGATATACAATACCTTGTTGGCTTGATCTTTTGACATTCTCAGTATACAACTTTATTATTGCCAACGTCAACGATTGCCCAGCTAGCGAGATCACACTTCGCTTGTATAAAGTATAAAATATAGCGAGTTCACACATTCCTGGCAAGTTTGGTACAGGTACATCGAGTTCACAATTCACTGCTTTTTTGAAAAACATAATATGAACGGCCCCTTTTGATTTGATTTGACCAAATGATCGCCAAGAACACACACCAAAATATACACCTAGAGGAGACAGAATTCGAATTTTTATATAAATGAATTAAAAACAGACTATGACGTTCATTTACATATATAAGTATTCAAACGTTCAAATAACTATTTTTATCAACATACCTTCAAAAATATAACTCTTTTCCTCCAGAATCAAAGAGTAATATTGTAAAATAAGCCTCGTGCATTCGTACCACAGTGGAAAAATATGCGAATCCCAAATGGTCATTTTGACATTAAATGTCATAGCTCCTATGAAGCTACGGTGCACCGAACACAGCTTTCGGAAGTGATCGGATTGTCATCGTAAACTTCCTGCGTATATAAATGTACACAACGCCATTCTCGTGACGTCAGAAAATGCGACCCGAATGAACGAACGAACGAACGACAAACAAATCGAGATTGCTTTGGCTAAAATACATAGGTCGCGCGGGGATCTGGCACGAGTAAAAACTGTAAACGTCGTCAAGAATAGGTGGCTGCCTTCGCTTCGCTCGGCAGCAATAACATAATTTTAGTTGTTAAACAGAGAAAATATAATATAATCGTATTGTCAGTACAAACTGATTTACGAAATCATGGCATTTACATGGATAACATTTAACAAATCGTAAATCGGTAAATGTTTTTCTTTCGGTTTATTAATTCTCAGGGTCGTAGCAACCAGGAGGAGGGGCCTGCAGCCCTCTCGATAATTTGCTAATAATCATTCGTTTTCAAAATCATGCAGACCTTTATCATTTAAATAATATAACTTGTCACATAGAACATGTCATTCTTACAAATCGTATGTTTTTGTTTCTCGAATTGCTACATTTTTTTGCGGGAAAATGACGTCACAAACTTCCCGCTAAAAAATGAACAGTTAGCTATTGTTAATTTTATGCACTTATTCGGTAGATATCATTTATCAAATTTCTAAAAATCGGCCATATTCTTCTATTTTTAGTAACAAAATGCCCGACTTTTTCGACATTTGTACCGCTATATCTTCTCGAGAAATAGTCGTATTTAGAAACGGAGTTTCGTTGTATGACTCTCTCAATGTCGTCTACCGAATAAGTGCATAACATTAACAATCGCTAACTGTTAATTTTTTAGCGCCAAGTTTGTAACGTCATTTTCCCGCCAAAAATGTAGCAATTCGAAAAACAAAAAAATACAATTTGTAAGAATGACACGTTCGATGTTCATGAGAAATTTTGTAGAAACAGGATGAAAATTAAAGAACCCATGCTTTCCTGCAATTTCTCCAATATAATAATATATAGTTCATTAAATACACGTTCACCCATTTAGTACTACTAAATTGTAAACAAATTGTAAATTTCGACATACTAAAACGTTATTTTCTGACCATCAGAATTCTGTCAAAACTACCCCCAAAGTCCAGGAAATGGGATTTCAGAGACTCTAAATTTAAAAATTTCCTCGGGCCTTCGGCTCTTGTTTTCAGCCCTCCAATCAATCCTCCCAACGGCACTGCATACTTCTATAATATGTCTGTGCGTAAAATATGCGTATTTTTGTTTGTAATTTGCGTCTTCATTTTCCGGATAGCAAAAATCTTCGTATGCCATGAAATATTCAGAAAATCTTGAAAATTGTACTTTAATAGTACTTCTAAGTGCTTATATTGTTCGTGATTTGTTTGTTCTATATATATATATATATATATATATATATATATATATATATATATATATATATTTATATATATATATATATATATATATATATATATATATATATATATATATATATATATATATATATGAAGGTGTTTGAGGTATCATGTCTGGTATTAATAATGAGTGGTTTGTATTCTTCTTCAGACATTAAAATTTTAATAAAAAGTTAAAAATATTAAAACGGTCCAAACGTTTCTCCGATTAAGGCTTCTTCAGTGGACTAATTGTTCGAGTAATATTAGGTTCCTTATATACCTAATCACTGACAAATGTTAAAATTAATTATGACTGTGAATATTCAAATCTAAAACAATAAAAGATATGGTTCTATATACATGCTTATTTACCTATTGTTATATGCGAACGTTATACATTAATTACTCTCCCAATACAACCATTCATTATCTCCCCTGAATGTTTTTGAATTTCGATGGCCTCAATACATTTACGTTCATCATTGTATCTAATGTTCTTGTGAATGATTCTCCAAGTAATGTCTTCCTGATTTGGTTTGTCCTTTTTACTCTTGTGACTCATTATACGTTTAAACACTGTTCGTTTATCCATTCATAAATGTTCTTTTATACGCGAGCCAATGGTCCTCCCGGTTTCTCCAATATACAAATTTCCGCAATGTGAACATATATATATATATATATACTCTGTTTCACAAATGTTCTGTTTCGCCAACGGCAACGTAGAAACTTGAGGACTTAGTACAGATTAATGTGTATGTAACATCTTTCAATTTGCAATTCATTTCCGACTTTCCATTCCATGTTTTTCCATCTTTAATTGAAAGAAAAAAATTATCAGTAATTATAAAACTCATTAATCATTCATGAAGAAAATACAAAAGAAATTAATGAATCAATGTTTGTAAATCGCATAAAGATTTGTCCTGATTTACATAAAGTTCATGCAGCTTTGATTTTCTCGGCTTTAATCATAGATATCTTATATACACTAGATAGCGTATCTCTTTTAGTAACATTGAAGCCAAGGATATTCCAGCGGTTACCCCCATTTGAATAGATGGCGGCCATGTTGGTCGTTCCCACTTAGTAATAAACGCTTAAAAACAACAATAACTTTCATCATTCGAATAGTTTAAAAATGTATTTGGAATTGGGTTAACTTAATGTTTAAGTTCCCTGTTTAAAAACTAAAAAACATACGAATCTTCTCATTTTATGGGAACGACCTGAGACTGCAATCATGGCTTCAATTTTTGAATTGCAGAATAATTAAATGCACTATCTAGTGTATATAAGATATCTATGGCTTTAATAGACAATGTTTATTTTTAAAACTAGAAGTTACTATCGCAAGGAAAGTGCTGCCTCACCCCCAAGGGGTCAAAGGCAGCATGCACAATTTGCTGAATAAGGGGCTGTTTTTATGATCCCGCTTTGCCAGGATGATATACGAGGCGGGATGATTTAGATGTATTTAAATAAGTCACGGTGTACACTTCAGCAAAAAACTTCATTATTTTCGAGAGATAGCAATAGTTATCTGTAAACTGAAAGGTTGTACAAGCAGCAATAATAATCTTCTTGAACTACAAGATCTGCTCTACAACATTTGAGTTTTGTTAACCAGCATTTGGACTTTCGTTTAGCCTATGGACGTATTTCAATACATCAAAATCATCCCACATTCCATCATGTAAACAGCCCCTTAGCCTAAGGGGCTGATTACATGGACTGGGCCAGCCCGGTTAACCGGGGTAAAAAATGTCACGAAAATCTTCCTTGGGCCGCAAAATGAGTTTTAAATCGGGTTTAGGATGATTTTGCATCTATAATAAACCAATTATTTATCGCAAATTTATTTTACACGAGTTTTAAAACCACAGTAAGGTCCTAAACAAACGAGTCAGCCCGGTTAACCGGGCCAGCTCGGCACCATGTAATCAGCACCTAAGATGCCTGTTCAGGAGGTAGGGAAAGTGCAATTTGAATACCAAACACCTTGCACAAAGTCAAAGGTCAGCTAAATATTCTAATTCTACTTTCTTGCAGGCATGCCAAATTTATATGAATTCCTTCAATGCTTATAACTTCTTGTTTTTGTATGTATAATTATAATTACTGTCAGCACTGGTGAAGCTAGCCATAGTAACAGCTCCTGACCTCGACACCTGACCTCGTGTTAAAAATTAAAATGCTACAAAGCTTGCTGATCGAAATCAGGGTTGCCAGGTGGTCTGAGCCCGAAAGAGCCAAATGATACGTAAAAAGTAGCCAAATCGGGCCAAAGGAAACCAAAATCGAAATTTAGAGTGGGGACTGGGACTAACCTAATTATACGAATTATATATACCCATAAAAAGTTAAAAACAATCGCTAATACATTTATATTTGACATAGTGACTAAGATCTCCAACTTAAACTTTATTTACTTATCAAGGTAGCAGTAAAGACGTAGACAGTTCTTTAATGAACTTTATATTTCTGGTTCTAATGGAAGTTCGTCTTTGTCAACTACAGATCGAAAAACAGTAAAGAAAAAACGAGTATTTTATAATTTTCGTTTTCCCGCCGTTCGGGGCGAACCGCGTAAAAGTCCAGACACACCTGACGCGATTCAACAACGCGAAGCGATTTTTTGATTTTCACTGACTGATAACTTTGATCCTAGTTTAAATTTTCCAAATATTTAGAAGTGCTATAACATTTTGAGTTATTTGGTCTACATATCTTTCTAGATTTGCTCTCATTGGCTGTTTTATTAACTTTCAAAAACTAAAAAATCACGTCGCGTTGCCGAATCGCGTCTGGTGTGTCTGGACCTTTGCCTAGCTGGGGAGAGGGTACTACTTCAGATATTTACGTACATCCGGAATCCTGGATAATGTGATCGAATATAGCAAATTTTATAACTAATTTTTACTGATGGATGGCAGACTATTTTTGAAAAGTTGCTTACTATTTCAGCATTTATTCAAAAAGAAGCCAAAAAGAGCCAAAAAATAGAAAGAAGCCAAACGAAATTTTTAGTAGCCAAACGAAGTCAAAAGAAGCCAAAATCGAGAAATTTGGCTCTTTTAACGCCAAACTGGCAACCCTGATCGAAATATTTTTAAACGCCATACTTGGTACGTCGTTCGCAGTCGCTAAACAAAGTATTCGGCAGTCATCGATTTGCTATTTTGAATTCCTGGGGTATGATAACGCTCCAATGCAAATTCCTTACTGCAACGTCATAATATGACGTCACAACTGCCGACACAAAATCGAGATGAGCTTCAGTATATAAAACTGTTGGCGGGAAATTCAAATGCGCTATAACACATCGTCAAGAATAGGAGGCTGCCTTCGGCAGCAATTACTTCACCAATGAACTCATAAGATGGGTCGTTTTATAAACACGATAAAACATGAGCAGCCGATCTTTATCTGATATACCAATTCTCGCCTTCGGCTCGAGTTTGTATATCAGATAAAGATCGGCTGCCAGTGCCTTTTTTAACTATATATCTGGGGGGGGGGGGAATTGCCCACCAGGGAAAGAATTCCCCCCCCCCAGTAAAGCCATTTCTGCCCCCGACGTGCGAAGCAGAATTGCTCATGATTGCTGTCAGAATTGCAGTTGATTTACTTGATAATGAGATTATGCCCTTCCATAGCCTCCTCCACAGCCATCTTGTGTGTAATTCATCTTGTTCTTCACCGAGTATTTCATAATAGCGATAGATTTCATGCAAACAATCCGATAAAGTGCTAGCCTTTCCAAGCCTTGCGACTATTTCCTAGCACTCTCCTCTGCGGAGGCGTTGTGTTTTGTTTTGGGAGGTTTTATTGCAAAATTTTTTTTCTTAAAAATATCAAGTTATATTAAGAGCCCCCCCCCCCAATCGCCACAAAAACCATTCTCTCAGAAAGGCTAAATCCGTAGAGAATTTTTTTTTGGGGGAGGGGTACACGTTACATGCTCGAAGCTGAAACTGATTAAGTACGTTTCGACTGAGGAAAAAGACGATATACTGGAGGAACTTGATTTGTGAAATCTCGTTAAAGCAGTTGTAGATATGGTTCCAAGAAGAATAGATTTAGTTTAGATTTTTAACTGTTAAATCCATGTATGCATCATCACAGCATGAATATTTCTTCTCAGACTTATTCTGTATCGTATGAAAAAGCAACGTATTTTGAGAATGCGGAAATGGTGTCTCATAGAACCTAAAATGATTTAAATGCAACATTTCTGATCAAAATCACATTGGGATCCCCCCCCCCCCAGCATCACAGAGAGAAAATAAGGTGACACTGACCCCTCCTCCTATTTTTCAAGGTGACTTTTCCAATTTATTTAATTCCGAGTAGAAATGTCTGGAAAAATTCATGTCTTCGTTGTACTTTATAATCTTCGGAATTCTGCTAGATTTCACCCCCAAAATGCATGAAATCGCAATTCAGGGACCCTAGATTTCAAAAATTTTCAAACCCCGGACCTTCCTAGACGGTATCACGCCTTCGGCGTGAGGTTCGCCCCCCACCCCACCCGCAAAATTAAGGTTTCGCTACGCCACTGGTTATAGCTGTACGATTATAGCTACAAAGGGTTGAAGTTATTGTTTAAAGTAAAATATAGCTGAAGTTAATAAATTAAAGTTTTACAAAATCTCTCTTCAGACTCGTGCGTTCGCCAAACCTCGACGGCTCATATTTTTCGAGTGAAAATTCCTTAAAAAAAGGCACTGTCGGCTGCTCATGTTTTATCTATGGTACTTATAATTTCCTCACTACATTTGTCACGGTTTTTACTATTGTGTTCATTGTCTATAAATCATGCTTAGTTCAAATTTGTGCGGATTTCTATTGTTCTCAGTCGGGTTTTATTTGGGTAAGATTCTTAAAGCAAGGGGGAGGGATTTGATATCTCTCCAGGGAAAAGTGGAGTTGATGAATAGAATAATAAATTTGAATATATAATAATAATAATAATAAAGAATATTAACCGTAATTTATCATTATACTTATTAGAGGGCGATACCAATGGCCGAAGGCCACGTGTGTGGGGGCATAATTTTCCAGAAAATTTTTCAAATTTGAAACCTGGAAATTTTCTTTCCTGCATTCTGAGCGTCCAAAAAAATAAAAAATTATTAACACTAATTTATCATTACTTAGTGATAGAAAACCGTAACAATTTAAATCGATTTTGTTAAACAAGGACAAAGGATAAAGCCTAAAACTTATTTTCCGTTTGTTTATTTGTTATTCTTCGCTGTTTTGTTGGTATAAATTTAGGAAAAAGGGAGGGGGGGAATGTGATTTCGTGGGGGGGGGCACAAGGGGGGACTGGGGGGCATTCCCCCCCCCCCAGCTTGTATGTTAAAAAAGGCCCTGATATCCGTGCAATATTTACTGAGCTATCGATGTTTTAAATCGAATAAGCATATTTGACAATGTTAAAAATTTGCATAAAATTGCCAATCAAATATCATTTGGTTCAACTTGATTATATAGTTTTATTATGGCCAAAAGAACGAATGAAAAACATAATTGTTGGATAAACATTTATTCATTTATCATAAAAAGTATGTCCCTTAGCTTGCAATGTCTTGCACGGGAAAACATAAAAGCCAAACTCTTTGATCTTTTGTTAATCGAAGCATAATAATTATTCGAAAGGCGAACGAGGCCGGACCAACTTTATAATACGAACTCTCAAAGGACGTCAAATATGCTTTCGAACGTTTTTAAATGTTTCATGCTTATTTCGCTTCCCAAGAAACACGAAAGGTTAACTTATCCTAGGACATTACCTGAAATTAAAGTTGAGTTGAAATGCTGAAATTGAAATTGTTAATTTTTGTGGAAAATGGCAATTTGTTTTCATATATAAATTTGATCAGCCATGTTTCTCGATTTTTTTACTCATTTTTTATAAAGCGTGCGCCACATTCAAACGTTTGTATCTCACGTAATATTACATGAAATGTTTAGGGTTGTATATCAAAATCTAAGTTAGCCTTTCCTCAATACAATAAAACTTATTTGAGTGTAATAGCTTTTATAGTTTTTACCTTACATAAAATCAAACACCGCAAGTTTTTTTTGGGACACTCGGTATATGAACAAATAATTACAAATAGGGATGACGTGCAGCGACCGAGCAACCAATTATAACTCAAAAGAAATTTGCTTGCTACCACGATAAGTTATATAGTTGTTCAAGTGTACACTTTATGTTTCTAAGGTTACTTGTGTAACAATACTTCAATTAATACCTTCTTGTTCTTTTATTCTCATTTAAGAGTGAAATGGCATGCAGTAAGGAATTACAATTCCCAAAAGAATGGTTGAAATACCACCACGATAGTGTGAACGAAGCCGTTGACCCAGAATTATTCGACGAAGAAGAGTACTTTAAGTGGGTAGTCGCTCTCGGCTTGTGTGACAGGCACACTGCCAAAAAATACAACATGTCTGTTCGACCATACCACTTAATGCGTTACATGGTTGAAGTTATTCCCAACAATTCTTTGTGCAGGGAACTATTCAAGCTCTGGACAAACCTGACGGGCAGTATATTCGTCAGCGACGACAAAAAGGAAACATTCACTCAAATTGAGATGCGGCAACTCTGCGACGCCTTTCAAATGTTGGATAGACAACTTTGTGAGCAATTTCCCCGACTCCCAACTCTTGATGAAATGAAGCAGTCGTTGAGGAAGAAGGTTACTGACGAGAAGTTAATACCACAACTTTTGGAACTGATGGATTTTACAAACTCCGTAGCAAAATCCCTTCTTCAGAAAGATAATTTCGCCGAAGACGATGTGAGAGATTTTTGGAGGAGATTGTGTGTCTCTTTCGCACTCTACATTGAAGCTTGCAAGACGGAGTCCAGCACATGTGTTGTCCCAAATGTTGAAATTGTCTGGCGGCGTACATTTTTGGGCGCTGCGTGTCCTTGGCTTCACATACTTGAAGTAACGTCTGGGGCAATAGGAAAAGTTAGAGCACACGTGCCGCTCATCAACGAGTTGTACTGCCTCAGTGCTTTCCATTGCACGACCGTCAACGATATCTATTCCCACGAGAAAGAAATAAGCGATGGAACGAGGGTTACCAACACAGTCAGAATAATGGCCGAAAGTAAAGAAGTTTCTGGAGAGTCCCAGGCTGCTCTAAAAGCTGTCCAAATACTCAATTCAATAACTAAAGTTATGTACCAGAAGATCGAGAAGGCCAAGGAGGAAAACCCAGATAACGCAGAATTGTGCACACTGTTGGACAACATTGGAATGGCGACAGCAGGTTGGTATTTCTTTCACCACTACTCTGCTCGTTACTACGACGCACAGTGGCGCCTCACTTTAGTTGGCGTCGAACAAGAGGAGTTGGAAGAATGGAGAAAATGCACAGATGAGGAACCACTGGATGAAGTGAAGCATTTCTTGCAACGCTCCAGCCCAAAAGCGAATCAAATCAGCGATTATATTATAAGTGGTGTTATTAATATTCATGCAAATCTGTTGCCAGCATGAAGATACCACACTTTTTCATGTCAAGATGACAACAATTTATGGACGTCTATAATCTAAAAAATATATCAGTTGTAAAACGTTTATAAATTGCAAATAACACATTATTGATTTAAAATTACGAACCTCTAGTTACTATAGTTTGGAATTCAATAATAATAAAAATAATAATAATAATATAACGCTATGCATTTTCTTCATTTTAACACCAGAAGGATATCTTGTGGTGTAAATTTTAAAGTAATGGTACGTTATCTATCAATACAACCCAAATTCACTTTTATCATGTAACCATCTTAAAATTGACATTTATCGAACACTAAATAGAATTGATATAATTTACGTCGATATGATAAGTTTGTTGGTAATTACAGTCGTGCCAACAGAAGCGTTCCGAAAAATGTTGACCAGTTCATTTCCTAACTTCGAGGAGTTCCTCTGAACAATTTCTCAACAATTTGATAAGTTCCTTAAAAAGTTCCTAACTTCCTGTTTCATTGCCAATCAGATTGCTCAAAAATAAGATATAAAATTCATTTCCTAACTTCGAGGAGTTCCTCTGAACAATACCTCAACAACTTGATAAGTTCCTTAAAAAGTTCTTAACTTCCTGTTTCATTGACCAATTGAACTGGTCAACATTTTTCGGAACGCTTCTATTGGCATGACTGTAAAAATAATCTAGAGTATCACTATGTAGTCAGCGGCGAAATTCGCCGTTCACCGCGCGCCTAAATCTGAAATGCTGCCTTGTTTAGACTACATAAAAGTAGTGTGCATGCACTCAGTCTTACCATTAATCTGCACACAAATGGTTCAACATGCGGTTTTTAGGTCCATTACTTCAGCGTTAATAAAATCCTCAGATGAGATATTTTATATAGCAATATTATACCTCAAATTCAAAGTATCCAATCAGAAAGCTAAGTTTGTGCCACGTGAGCATGAATTTTATCATCGAATTGCGCCATACGTCGTCGTATTTGACGCACTGATTTGACGTAAGCGGGTGACTTGAATCATATCCCATGACGATTTGACATGTCACCCGGGTGACGTGTTCGCGTAAACCACGCGCGGCGATCACGCAAACAGGATGGCCGACAAAATATACCAAATATACAAAATATACACCCTGTAGGGTGTATAAGAAAACTGAACAGATTTGAAATTGAAAAAAATATCTCGAACTCAAATTTTATAAACCAAGGGAAGTGTCTATTCCAACAAACTAAAAGTGGCTTGCGCACGAGATTTAAAATCGTATTTTGAGTTTTAAGAGAATTTTGAGAATTTTATTTTAATGGGTGAAAAATGTGTTGGGTGTTTAATTGCAAGAGAGCCTGGGTACGAGGTTGGTTTAATTGCTGCACAAAATTTCAGACAATTTGCTTCAGTTTAAGCCCTTTAACATTTTTTTTTAAATAGCCTTTTGCATGCTTAATTATGCCTTTTACCTAATTAGCATATTGCAGCAATATGCAAATTAGGCAAAGGCATCAATTGAGCATGATTGGAGTTGATTCCAGAGCATAGCTATATTTCAAACTTTTTTTTAAGAAATTCTCGTTTCGGCTTAGGAATTGTTAGGTCAGTTGCTGTATTTCGAAGATGATAATTAGTTTGATCTATTTCTCTTCTCACAAAGGACCCTCGAAGACCCGGCGCAGTGTGGTCATTAAGTATTTTATACATTCATATTTTCAAGTGTGTCCCAAGAAAGCATGTTGAGAAGATCAGCTGATCATGAGTGAGTATCATAATTAACACCCATTAGGATTCTTGCTGCACGAGACTGAAATCTTTGCAACTTGTCTGTTAGCAACTTACCACAAGTGTCCCAAAGTGGGGAGCAATAATCAAAGTAGGGCTGCACAAGACTTTTATAAATCGATTCTAAGGTATGCATTGGAACAAAGGGCTTTATATGTTTCATAGCGCCAATAGCAGCACTCGCCTTCTTGCATATCATTTCAACGTGATTATCCCAATTAAGGTTTTCATCTAGTTTTACTCTTAAACACATTTGTGTAGCAGCAGTTCGTAATATAGGTTTTGCGTTAGCCACAACGGATTCCTCACACATTATATTATTAAGATTACACGGGGAGCCAATAAACATCATTTTGCATTTTGATGGATGCATCTGCAGCCTATTTGAGTAAAAGCCAATTACAGACATGGGCAAGATCTGAATTTAAACTTATAACAAGTTCATTTGCATCGTAGGAAGATGAAAAGATTTGAGTATCAACATGCCTGGATTAGTTGATTTCAAACAATCGGGCAAATTAAATAATTAATATATAGTAGGAATGGGAGTGGTCCCAGTATAGATCCCTGGGGCACTCCACAGGTGATAATTTTATTACTGAATAATTCCCCGTTAACATTACATTGCTGTTCTCTGTTTGTTTAATATGATTCAATTAACCTTTTTAATTCAATGCCAAAAATTCCAAATTGCTCATTCTTTTTATTTTTACAAAAGGCGATGGTTTATAGAGTAAAATGCCTTTTTGATATCTAGGAACACGACGCCACTTAACTTTTCATTATCCATATTTTCTAGCCACTCATCACACATTTGGATAAGGGCAGTTGCAGTTGAATGCTTTGGACGAAATCCAGATTGAAACTTGGACAGAAGAGAGCATTCCGACAAGTATCTATATACCTGACGGAAAACGTCCTTCTCAAAGCTTTACTCACCACCGGTAAAATTGAAATAGGCCGATTCATAGTTATTCTAATTTCTATCAATGCGGTTAATTAGAATGTATTTTCAAATCCCAGCAGCAAAATAAGTAGCACAGACATTGAAATGCTAGTATAAGCAGCATTATGCAAATTATCGTGTTTGCAGGTTTTTTGATACACCTAGCTGTAGACGTATAGTTTCACGCTTTAGTAGAACCGACGAAGGTCTCAGTTGTTTGACCGAAACGTCTTCTGATATTTTAAAATAAAAGTTTTTTGACCAGTTTCAACTTTCCAAGCTTTACTTTTAGCTTCCAATTATGTTTCCCACTGGTTGCAATTTTTGAACAACTATATGTATTTAATTTCCTGCTTCAATATAGTTTGGCAAACTTTAATTTACCCACAGACGCGATCAGGGAAAGTTCGCGCACGCTGGTTCTACAGTCAAGGAACTGTATCTTTTTATCTGCGTTACAAAATACATAAACAATCTATAAGAATTCTTTGATCTTTAGCAATCTACAACAGTTCTTGTTACTGTGACGTGAAGCCAGTCACGTCTTGAACATTCTTAATTTAAGACATTACGTAATTATGCTAACTCATGTTATTGCTATATTTATCTATATATCATGTTATGCTAACTCATGTTATTGCTAAGTTTGGAACAAGCTTTTAACAACTTGTAACATGCTTGATAGCATTATCAGACTTGTAGCAAAGTTGTTCTAACAAATCTGATACAGTCGTGATATAACAAGAATGTTACAAGCTAGGTTCAGGACACAAGGTTGTAACAATATTGTTATATCATGACTGTATCGGGCTTGTTGGAACAACCTTGCAACAAGTCTGATAATATAAACAAGGTTGTTAGAAGTTGTTAATAGTTTGTTCCAAACTTGTTGACAACGTGGGACAAGCAGTGCGAAGATCAGACAACTTGTTGGTAGACTTGCTACAAGATGTGAGATTTTGCGTGTGTAGTTTGATGGCACAAACAAGTAAATTGTGCACGCAACGTTAACTATCTACATACTTTTACTTAAAAGAAGTTACTATCGCAAGGAAAGTGCTGCCTTAAGGCCCATACAGACCGGACGCGATTTGGCAACGCAACGCGAATTTTCAGTTTTCAATGACAAGTAACTTTAATATTTTTCAGTGTTTTTCAAATATTCTGGACCACTTTGCAATTTTAGCCATTTGGTCTGCATATCTTGTAAAATTTTTATCCGTTGACGGTTTTATTTGTTTTTGAAACTGAAAATTCGCGTCGCGTTGCCGAATCGCGTCCGGTCTATGTGGGCCTTTACCCCCAAGGGATTAAAGGCAGCATGCGCAATTTGCTGAATAAGGGCTGTTTATATATGATCCAGATTTGCCAGGAGGCCCAGGACGATATGGGAGGCAGGATTATTTTGATGTATTCAAATAAGTCACGGTGCACGATTCAGCAAAAAACTACATTATTTTCTAAAGATAGATTACAGTTAACTATAAACGAATGGTTGTTCAAACAGCAATAATAATCTTCTTGATGATATCGCCTTGGCTGGCTTGGCACATCGCCACACAAACAAATAAACTAAAAGTATATTTTGACTCCTTGTATAAACAAGACGACCAGTGGGCTATAAAACTGTTGATAAATTCATGAAATCATATTGTTTCAATACTTCTATATGGAACATTAAACAGCGTCAGCGGTAATCATTTCGGGCAATTTCCAAATGCTCATTTTGGACCTGTGAAATTTCAGGTATGACAATAGCCTCCAAGCTTGAAATTTTACCTCCTTCTACAGGAGCTACAAAGGTTAGCTAGAACCTACACTAGCCTTTTGGCCAAAGGTGTTTAACGCTTGGGAACTGGGATTTGCGTATTTTTGGACTGGGGAAATTGGATTTGGGTTACTGGGAATGAAAGGGCTCGTTCAGACTGAGTGCCCGGCACTGGTGCCCAATGTTCAAAATGGTTCACAAAACATGTTGAGCACAGTGCCGTTGTTGAGTACTACCTCTAGAGGTAGTGCCCGTTCTTGGGCACTGTGCCCAATTTCATTTGAAAGCGTCGTGTTCAAACTGGGAGCCAAAACAAGTGCCGGGCACCAGTGCCGGGCACCAGTGCCGGGCACCCAGTCTGGACGCAGCCAAAGACACAAAAATGGGAATGGGAAAACCCAAATACCATTATAACGGCAGTTGTAGTCTTGTAGTTGGACATTTCAGAGTGAAATAACTTTCACTGCAGCCACAGGGCAATTTCTTGATAGAGAATTTGTCTAAAAAAGGTAAAGA